GCTCCGGCTCCGCCGCCGAGCCTTGCTCCTCTACTGCCGCCATCTTGGCCCGTCCCTCCGGACGCAGCGCAGAGCACTCTGGGACCTGTAGGCCTTCCCGGGGCACGCCGGGATATGTAGTTCCGCAGGAAGAGCCGAGCGGAGCGGGAGGGCTCCCTCAGCTCCGAGCGGTGCCCGGGAAAGGGGAGCTGCGGATCTCCAGCCTCCTCTCCCAGGACAGCGACATCCTGAAAGGGCTGCGGGAAAAGCCTGTCCGCCTGCCCGCCCGGCGTATATCGCAATACTCATCCTAATCATCTCCACCCCCATCCTATTTCCACTTCTATCTAACAACCTCAACAACACCCCCAACACAATCACAAATACAGTCAAAGCCTCCTTCTTAATCAGCTTAATCCCCATAACAATCTACATCTACTCCAGGACAGAAAGCCTCACCTCCTTCTGAGAATAAAAATTCATTATAAACTTCAAAATCCCCATCAGCCTAAAAATAGACTTCTACTCCCTTACCTTCTTTCCCATTGCAGTGTTTGTATCATGATCTATCCTACAATTTGCAACATGATATATAGCTTCAGACCCCTATATCACAAAATTTTTCACCTACCTACTATTCTTCCTAATCGCAATACTCATCCTAATCATTGCCAACAACTTGTTTGTCCTATTCATTGGCTGAGGAGGAGTCGGAATCATGTCTTTCCTACTAATAAGCTGATGACATGGACGAGCAGAAGCCAACACCGCTGCCCTTCAAGCCATGCTTTATACCAAGTCAGAGACATCGGACTTATCCCCTGCATAGCATGACTGGCTTCTCCCACAAACACCTGAGAAATCCAACAACTTCCCATCCCATCTCAAACTCCCGCACTGCCCCGAATGTAGCCTCAGGCCTGTGCTCAGCACAGCGTGGCTTAGGCAGTGGTGGATGCTGCTCCCAGCTCATGCCTTCTACAGCAGGCAAAATGAGCTGGCCAGGCATCAAAAGGCAAGCATATGTATAAACTTACATCTGTAATGCATATAGAGAATGTGAAAAATGCGTATTTTATGACTGGCTTTTCGCAAATATTAAAATGAATATTATATGTGTTATGTTAGAAAGTTATGCTGCGTTAATTTTCTTAAGTAGTGTGTTAAATAGTTTTAGGTTATAACATAATGTTAAAATAGAAAATATGCTATGTAGGATACTTTTCTTAAGAGAGGACTCGCACCAAGATAGCAGTCACAGGACACCTTAATCTTTCAGAGAAAAAGAATTTATTGTTCTTTTATCGAGTTCTTCCCACTTCACTTAGCCCTGAGGATGCTGTCAGGATTAAGAGGAAGAAGCTGACACTGACCAGACAGAATCCTTTCTTTGAATGGAATTTATGCATCATGTATGAGATGTAAGAATATGCAATGGGCTATTGCTTTTAAGGGTTAATCCTCTGTTAACGTGGGTCCTTTTTCGGGCTTATTTTGCCCAGAAAGTGGCACCCGGACTGTCCACAACTCTTTGGGTTTTTGTCCTGTATTATTCTAATCCCAATTGTTCAGATTTTTATTACTTTAATTATATTACTATTTTTATAACCATTTTATTACTATTAAACTTTTAAAATTTTAAAAACAAGTGATTGGCGTTTTTCACAGAGAACAAATGAAGTGCTTCGGATGTGTTGGTATGAAACATTTTGAAGCACTAGTGATGGGAAGAGAGAAAGGAGCTGTCATTGTCCCTCATTGTTTTCTGCTTATGCTAATTGCTAGTGTGAATTTTTGAAGTATGAATTATGAAATTTTTTTCCCTCTGTCTCTGGGAAGTCTGTCTGGGCGTGCTCCCAGTGGAAATGCTGATACACTCCAGCATCTGTCCCTGGATTCCGAGCGTGGCATTTCCTCTGCACCCAGAACAATGAGGAAAGTGAGAGGAAATACGAACGAACTCTCTGCGTGACAGGGAAAGAAGAGGAAACCTGAAACAATTCATGGGCAGGAGTCAAAATGAAACTGCTGCATCCCACTGTGCTCAAGAGCAGTAATAAAAAAAAAAAAAAAAAAAAAAGCAACAAACCAAACCCACCCTGTGTAGATGCTCCTTGTTACCATATGTTTCAAAAATTACAGCAGCCTGACCAT